GCGTGTCCTAGAATGTGTCCGATTCCAGCGTCTCATTCCAAAAGAGCCTGATGATGTTGAAGGGCCACAGAACATGTCTGTGACCATGCTGGAGATCAGCACTGGGGTCGAGGCTGAGGAAGTCAATTGAAGTGAATTCTGCGGGGCATGTTTCTCCACAGAATCTCTCTTGCAAAACACTGACCGGAGACAAAGGTAAGTTCTCTCAAAGGAGCAGGCAGAGCAATCACACGAGTGAAGGAGCTGGGGCTTCACTGTCAGTTGTTCAACACTTCAGCAAAGACTGAAGATTACTGACAACTGCTCGTAGACCAAGGGCAGGAATCTGGCATGAGTCCTGCCCCTGCGCTAAAAAAACAAAACAAAACAAAAACCCCACACACAAACACACAGAGTAAAGATAGGGTGTTTAAGGAAGAGAGAGAAAGAGAAAAAGTGGTAAGCCATCCCAGAGAGGACTCATGGACCATGGCCCTAGCCCTCCCTTAATAAGTGTTTCCTATGACCCACTAACCTTTTTAGGATTCCTCCAGTGGAATTCTATGATCATTACCTTGTCCACAATGTTGAACAGCAGCAGGAGCATTCATCCAGGCCATAACCATCTCAGTCTACTAATACTGGAAGATCGTCCCGCAATAGCTGGCATGCATAATTCGTATTATGGAGTAGGCCGGCTGGTAGTCAGTGACACGGGCAGGTGAATGTAGCCTAGGAGGTGGGACTTGATGGATTAAACTGGATCGGTTTCAACTGGGAGGCATGGGAAACATTATCAATCCTCATAATTCAACGTTTCACATTTCAAGGCAATTTAGGTGAGCAGGGTTGATTGTGGATTTAATTCGAAACGCACTCATGTAGGATGATACGGATGATATGCGAGTGCTGAAATCTGATAGTGTTTGTAATGTTCCTTTGTTCTCAGGAATGTGGCTTGGGTGGACTTGCATACACACTGAAAATGGTTTCAAGTTTTTGTCACGGCTGGCGGGGTGAGCCGTGTGGTGTGGAGGAAAAGGAGGACCCAAAATGCAGGCAGTGGCGGAGGTGCAAGTGGGTTT